ACAGCTGTTAATCTGTGATGGGACATTGTGTATTATTTCAAAGTTTATCAGCTCACATTTTGCACCAACTGAAGCTGAGACACAGAAGGCCCGCCTCCTCATTAGCTCCTCAAAGTTCTGCCAGAGGCTGTTCCTCCCATACTGACCTGCTGACACTGGATGTGGTCACATGAACTGTGGTGTGAGTATCATAAAAATACGCTGGAGGTTCTGAGGGAACCTTCAGAAACAAGTCTGCCCACCACAGTAGCAATCATGCATCTAACTGCTAACTTCATGCACAGAAAATCGTGTGCTGTGGATGATTTCTGCGCGGCCCTTGTTGTTAAGAGCACTAGCGAATACAAACTGGTAACAGGCATTAATTGTGCTTTATTTCTCCGAGTTACATCAGCAAGAGCATTTTTCAAGTGCTTGTAAGTGTGCTTGAAGATATGACATATCCCAAACTCAAACTCAGACACATACCTTTACTGTTGGATCGCCAGTTAATGAGCCGGGTTACTGGAAGACTGTTTTCAATCAACTCGGATACATACCATAGCTGCGTGTGTTCTCTTATTTCGATTAATCGACCATGTTAACTTCACCTTGAGCGAGTAAAATCTAGTTGCGTGAGACCTCTTCGTACCATTCTTCTGTATAAACTCCTTTGCAGACATCCATTTACTGGCACATCAGCCTCAGTTCCAATGACACTACTTATGGCCTTCTTCACAATAACCATCTCGCCTCGTTATCCGTGTGGTAGTTTCTTTTTATTATTACCATGCTCACCATTACTCACGTAATGAAACATCATCTCCTCTCAACACTGAGTGGTGATTGCTCTGCCGAATATGTAGCTGTGTGCACCCACTGAGGCACGCTAGACATTGTCACCATTCAGAAACAACAACAGTGGTCTATCATGTGGTTTGCCTTTCAGTGCATAATATGCTTCATATCGAGTGTTTTGCTGTTAGAATTCTCCATTTTCAGACCTGGAGAGTCTGCAGGATGAAAAGACTTTGCTCTGATGCATAAGCAATGTGCTTAACCCAAGTCTAGATAATTTATGACAAAAATCATACACGTTTTGGTTTCTATCAGCTGAGTGTTCCCGTTTATTACCTTCCCCTATATCGGTGTTTGATGATAGCAGCCAAGGCAGACCTCCACAGACAACTTCAGCCAGTACGGCTCGAACACACTGCTGCTGCATTTGGTGCAGCTCGGCCTCACTCTTTTGTCAACTATACAAAACCCACTGCTCATAGCTATCTCACAAATTGTAACAAGAATAGTAATTGTGCGTATACAGATTAGTTTGCATGTGTGTATTTTCCTTTTCCCAAGATGTCTGAGTGCTTTCATCTATGGCCTCAGAGACCAGACCATCAGACCCGTCCTCATGTTCAATCTTTGCTGTCGACTGAAACGCTCCGTCATCCCAGCAGAAGCTGAGAAGTCGAGCTTGGTTAAGTTTTCAGGGAGACCTACATTAGTCACAATATCTGGCTTCAGTGGTTGAGGAAGAAACTGAAAACACCCTTTTATAATTTTGAAAACAAGAAATGTTCATTTGTTAGAACAGGATATGACAGTATTCATAGGAAGTCACTGAGGCTGCATTTATCGCTCTCAATAGAACTATATCACTGTGTGGGACTCAATCTGAATTTATTACATTTTTAATCATTCACCATGGCACAACGGAATTTCTTTTAAAAAAAATGAAAGTTGTTTTGCTACACCAAATAGATTTACATTTCATTTTTGATTGAAAGGAACAACAACAAACAAGCATTCATATCCTCAAACACAACTCAAAACTCTCTAGAACAGGGGTCTCCAATGTAAATATTACCCTTTTCATAACACTTGCAATGACTTGTGCAAACGGGTTCTATTTAGTCAAAACATTTAAATACATTACTGAAATGTTTTTAATAATTAAAAAGTATATTAAGACAAGCCTTTATTACATGATCTGAGTTGAAATGCTTTCCTGTTCTGCCCTTCTGCATTCGCCGTTCATTCTTCAAGAAAGTCATTTAGTCACATGGAAATATGTTCCATAATTTAATTAAGCAAATTCAAAGATGAACTTCTGAGTGTTACAACAACAAACATCCACTCGGCTTGGAACAAGTCAGAATCATGTGTTTTGAAATGATTTGTTCTTGTTGGACCAACCGGTGTTTTATTTATTTCATTCATATGAATGAAGATAAACACAATTCAATTTATTACTACCATAATTCTAATTTGCTGATCAAACACATGCCCTGATTGTCGTTTTTGACTGTACACACATTCGATATGGTGTGTTTAGGATTATAGTATGTTTAGGGTTTGTAATGGCGAACCTATACAACCTTTGACCTGGTCATTGTAAAACCACACAGGTTATTGTGTGTTAGGGTTAGGGTTATTATGGGTTGGGGTTATTGTGTGTTATAACGTGTTATCTTACGTCTGTCATATGCACCAGTCTTAATGTTTTAATGTTTAATGTCTTGCAATGATGCAATAATAATATTAATAAGTTACATTTCAGATCTCCTTGTTCCTCAAATCTCGGCCTTTTATCCATTCCCCGCTCTAACTGTAAAACTAAAGGTGACTGTGCCTTTGCTGTTTTAGCCCCAACATTGTGGAATAGTCTTCCCCATTCACTTAGATTCACTGAATCTGTGGACAGTTTTAAGCGGCTGCTCAAAACCCACCTCTACAGGCCTTTTTATAGATCTTCTTTGTTTTTTAATCTGTTGTCTCTCTTTTAATTTATCTTTTCCCTCTTGTTTTATCTTCCTTATGTTTGTATTTACATGCTCCCTATGTATGTTTGATTGGGTATGGTTATGCATGTCCATATTTATATGTTATACCCATTTGTATGTATGTTGTTTGTAAAGCACGTTGGACCTCTGTGTTAAAAAGGTGCTATATAAATAAAGCTTTACTTACTTACTTACGTAGCCTTGGAGAACCCTGATCTAGAACTTCCATCATCAGAGATAAGGGGTGGACAGGGGTACTATTAACACTTGTGCAAAATAATGTACTCCAAATAAATCAACAAATAAATAAATAGCTCTGAATAAATGTTCTGTGAAGCTGCAGCTCAGATTGTGTCAGAGAGGTTTCTGCAGCCAATGTTGGTGTTGGTGTTTGAATTTTAATCTTTTATGATTCTCTCACACAGTAACGGCCTTTATAATGTAATTTGTATGTACAGCGCAGTCAGAAAGTATGAAGACAGTGATGTCTTTATACATTGATTTGGACCTGTTTCAGCACTAGGGTTGGGTATCGGTTGGGTTTTATCCGATACCGGTGCCTACTCTGTATTTTTTAAACGGTTCC